GGCTATGCTACTAACTGTTAATTTACCAGATAATATCTTTAGCCTAATTAGAGCCATGTCGACAGATGAGAAGTTTGAATCTCCAGATGCTTTGCTGCAAAGGCTCAAATGGATATATAAAATTAATGACATAATTCTTATAAATAAAAATATTGATAAACATATAATTAATACTTATAAATTAAAGGAAATTTTTGTTGACATAATATCATTTGAAATAATTAGGAAAATATATATATACCCATAAGATCACATGGTGAAATTTTAAAAGAGTATTATGACTGTAAAAATAATGTTATAAATCTTAGTATTGAAAAAATTAATGAAAATGAAATAGATAAAATTCCCATATACAAAAATTTTAAAAAAATAGAATCCAAATCATTAAAGCTTGACACTACAAATATAAAAAAATCAAAAGAATAGACAATACAAATAAACATTTACCTTATATAATTAATGATAAAATGGACGAATTTTCCAAATTTAAAATTTAAAATACAATGAAATCTAAATTATGTTTAAAAGACAAAACATGTGTAAGTAATAATGACTACTTTAAAACATTATTTTTATGGAAGATAAAAGAAAACAGTAATTTTGAGTTATTATTTGATTTAAAAAATAAGGGAGTAAAATTTAAAAAATATAAATAATTGAAATATGATATTAATAAAAAAAATTTATTATATAAAACGCTAAAATTCAAAATATTCCAAGATTCTATATCCCAAATGATGATTCTTATTCCATAAATGATTCCTATTAATTATTTTTATCCCATTATTTCTATTATTCCGAAATTATTTCATTCGAGTTAAATTGATCATGATTATAATATCAAGTGAAAAGTAAATACAAATGATAATAAACAACGAGATGATGGTCAAGCAAACGATTAGACAATCAGAATAACAAGCTGCAAATAAGCCAAAATGATGAAGAAACCAAATAACTACTGAACCAAACAAACAACACATCACTATCGATTATTTTTTGCAACAGCACGGATACCTTATAATTTACCAGATGACAATTTAAAGATAAACAAAGAATTAGACGAAACTGGCATTGAAACATATATACATAAGATTGTTATCAAAGAAAACACACACTCTGATCTAAAAAGTTTTGAGGGAGCAAGACAAGATAAGATGCCACATTTTTCAAGACAAAACTCTGACAGATTTTATGATCAAAATAGATAGGAAACTCCTTGAACACTAAAAATTTACATTTAAAGAGAACCTAGGCGGGGTTCCTGTAGAGGGTGAATTTTGAACATGGATTATTATTTTATTACACTGGTTATTATATAGCGAAAAATAATATATGTTATATTCATTTAACATCATTTATATTAACTTAACTTAATAGTTTCATTTAACTTAACTTAATAGTTTCATTTAATTATTTAATAGTTTTGCTTATATATATAAAGGATAAAATTATTATAGTTTTTTTAGTCATATATTGTAGTTAAACATGTTAAAATATATTTATTAAATAAAAAATTTGTCTTATCTTCCTTACTTCCTGCAAACGTTAACATATATTAAACAATATTTATAATAATAATAAATAATAAGAAAATAAAGTAATAAGAAAATTTCCGCAAGATAGAGCATTTTAAAAAATTTATGTGTATATTTTTTATACAACAAAAATAACGGTTTAATTTACAACAGAATATGAACATATAATTTATAAAATAGATATAAATATAAAATTCATGTAAAATTTTTTTGATTTTATTGGAAGAAATATTTTATATAAAGAAAAATATATTATTAGCCTAAAATATTATATTTTAAGTAATTTATTTTTAAATAGCTTTCTTTTCTCGCAAAATGATTACGAAACAAATGATAAGCAATTTCATTCAAAGCCATATCCTATTCTATATAATAATAGAGTAATCAGGAATAAATTAAATAGGTAAAAAGAAGTCGGAGATATCAACATTACACCGATTGGGTTAACAGCAGAATATACAAATACTAGCTAATAACCCGTCAAGAATGACGGGGTTGAGGGGTAATTAGTTAATTTGTGTATATGGTATACTAAATTTGCTTTATATTAAAATTTAGGAGAAAAAGAGGTAAAATTGTTGCAATGTAACCCGTGAGCATTAAGGGTATTAGAAATATCAAAATTTAAATTTGTGATAGGAATCATATTGGGTAAAATTAAAAATAGAAATGCTTCAAAATTTTTGAATTTTAAATATGGGCTAGATATTGCCTCAAAATTTTGTTTTGCAGACACAGCTAGGCCTGATCAAAAAACCACGTCCCATGCAACTTTCCCAAAATTTTGCCATTTATTTCTATTGTAATTTAATAATAATGTCTTAAATTTAATTTTATATTTAGAATAAAATTTAAATTTGTGATAGAAATCATATTGAATAAAATTTAAAATAGAGATGCTTGGAAATTTTTAAATTTTAAATATGGGATAGACATTGGCCTGAAATTTTTTTTTGCAGACATAGCCAGGCCTGATCAAAAAATAAAGTCCCATGCAACTTTCTACAAAATTTGCCACCTATTTATATTGTAATTTTATAACAATGTCTTAAATTTAATTTCATATTCCATTTATTTCTATTGTAATTTAATAACAATATCTTAAATTTAATTTTATATTTAGAATAAAATTTTAATTTATGATAGAAATCATATTGGGTAACATTTAAAATAGATATGCTTAAAAATTTCTTAATTTTTAATATGGACCAGATATTGGACTGAAATTTTTTTCTCAAACCTGGCTAACCCAATAATTTTGTAATTTTTTCCCAAGCCTGGAGATAGGTAAATCTCTGAAAACCATATTTGTTAGTTGAGAACTGAAATAAAATATATAAAAGTCATAATTCATTTAAAAATAAAATCAGGATATGGTGGCATGGGCTTGGTTTTTTAATCAGGCCTGGCGATTTCTGCAAAATAAAATTTTCAGGCCAACGTCTAGCCCATATTTAAAATTAAAAAATTTTCAAGCATTTCTATTTTATATTTTACACAATATGATTTCTATCACAAATCTAAATTTTATTCTAAATATAAAATTAAATTTAAGACATTTTTATTAAATTACAATATAAATAAATGGCAAAATTTTATGAAAGTTACATGGGACTTGGTTTTTTTATCAGGCCTGGTTATGTTTTCAAAAAAAAAAATTCAGGCCAATACCCATATTTAAAATTCAAAAATCTTAAAGCATCTCTATTTTAAATTTTATCCAATATGATTTCCATCACAAATTTAAATTTTGATATTTATAATACATGCTCACGGTATACATTGCAACAATTTTACCTCTTTTTCTCCTTCTATAAAATATATTAATAAAGTATTTTTAGTACCATACAGTTAAACTAAATAATTGTCCTTCAATCCCGTCAGCTAGTATGGTAATAAACGGTAAAATTTTAAAAATATCAGCTATTAATTTATATATATAATTATAATTTAATTATATTCAAGTTGGTGCATGCTTAAAACATACGACTTTGAAACGGGAGGTTTCTGGTTCGACTCTCGTAGAGAGCAATAAAATTACATTACACTATATAGTCTCCTTAAATTTTAAATATAGGAAGATACGAAAACGATCATGTTTTGATTATGGAGATTATATATATTAGATACTTTTAAAATTTTCAATTATTCTTCATTTTTGGGAATACAATCATGTTTTTCTTAAAGTGTAATGTGTTTTTTTTTAACTTAAAGCATATTTTGAGCTTGTTTTATAAATTTAAAAATCTGATTTTACCAAATATTGTATTATAACAAGTTTAAAAAAAACCTATTCTGTAATTTTAAAAATATTTTCCCTAGGAACATTTGAACATAATATAATTTAGATAGTTTTTCCATGGATTTTTTTTAAATATAAATTTTAAATGACACAATGGTTAATGGTAAAAATTGTCCGTGTTGTAATTGCCCTGTCTCCTCCGCTCTCCAACACCAATGTGGATAAATACTGTCAAGAAAGCGAGATTTGACATTGGAAATCAAAACCTAAATATAAAAAGAAATATATACTAAAATTATAGTTGAATCCTTTATTAAGTAAATAATAATAAATATAATTAAATACAAAATGAAATACATAATCAAAATAAAAGAAAAATTAAAATTAATATAAAAAAATAAAATTAAAAAGTAAATTTAAGTTAAAAATAATAATTTAATCATCTTTTTCGCATCATAATTTCTCCATTATATATCCTTTTTCTTTAATCAACATTTGCATAGTCTCAGTTTGTACCGAGATTTAATTCTCTTTTTTCTTGAGTAGATTTGAATATCTTTCGGCTTCGTAATTTTGTTAAATAATTTGCCTCTCTGGATTTTTTCTTAATCTAGTAAATTTGCATATTACCACAATTACAACAGTCCGGAATTCATAAAGTATAGATGTTTGAGATATGTTGGAAATCCGGTAAAAGAGGATATTTAAGTTCTAAAAAACGCGGTAAAAATATTATTATAATTAAAAAAACTAACACATTAACGGTAAAAAAACACATTGACGCTATATAATATATATTTTTTTAAAATCATTTACTATTTTGATTCTTAAAATGTTTTAATTTTGCATAATCATATATTATATTTTTTTAAATAGAATAATAAAATTTTAGGTTAATGATGCTTACTACTCTAAGGTGCTACCTATCAAATTTGTATTTTGTAATATTTTTAAAAATAAAAATAAAAAATAGATAAAATTGAATAATTTCAAAAATTTGATATACCCTGAAGTATCATATTTCTCATAAAAATTTACTAAACTAAATAATATTTATTTTCCTTGAATAATACGTCATTCATATTTTTCTAACTGTCTTCAAATAATAAATAATATTTTTTATTTTTTAAAAAAATATCTTTAAAGCGCCTTATTTAACTAAAAAACACAAATATCAATATAAATCACGAAATTGGAATCATTTTGGAAAAGTTTAAAATCCATCCTACACGACGGGAAAAGTCTTTAACCAACTGACTCGAAGCTGATTCATCTAAATCCTGTGGAAGAAGATTATCGAAATACTACCTCAAAATATAAAATGATCGATAAAGATATGGTCCAAAATAATGGCGGTGAATTTGACCTCAATTCAATGCAAAAATTTTCTAAGGTCAACAAATCTTTTAATAATACTTCCAAGGTTAAGATAACATAAATAAAAATTTTATTTTATTTTTTTTAAATAATCTATTAATTACTAAAATAACATGGATATATGTATCACTGACCCTGCAATCATAGTTAGCGCCAATTCGTGCGGAAGTTTATAAAAATACACCAAACTACGAATTAGTGCTAACAGTCAGGGCAACCCTTCATTCACAGTTAGCGCCAAATAGCGGCGGTGAATTACATATATAACGTGTTCTGTATAATTAATCACAAATTCGCGCTAATTTTGAATGAGGGGTGATGCGCAAATGTTGATTCTTAAAAGATGCAATTTAAAAAAAAAAATTAAAACAAAAGTTATTTAACAATTATTTTTGTTAAAATATTCAAATTAAATTTCATCTGAAATGCTTATATTTTTAAAAAATATGGTAATAAATTTTTTATTAAATAAAAGCAAATTTACAATTCAGTTGTAAAAAATATCTTAATCGTGTTCTTTTTATCCTTTTCTATTTACATTTTTGAAAAAAGGCACAATTGCTAAGCTATCTCTAGAAAAGCCCCCCCCCCTCTCTCCTTTTCTTTTTAGCAGCCAAAATTATGTCCATAATAAAATGGTAAAGTTTGCAAATGTAAAATATTATACTTTTTTTTATTTTCCTATCGGTTCCTAGTCACAGTTACATTTTAAAAATTATAACTAGTAACTACAACTAACTAATCACGTGTTAGTTATATTTCTTGATTTATATTCAATAATTTTAAAAAAAAGTCTGTTTAATTTTTCAAAAATAACGATTTCTTGAAACATATTTTTCAGTCAATTTTTGTCGGCAAAATTGATTCATAGTAGAAGCGAAAAATAAATTACGTTTCAAGTTTCCGCACTGATATTGAGGAACATAACCATGTTTAGTATCGTAAAAAATAATCTTTTAAGCATGGAGTTTAAGGAATGTTAATATTAAGTATACTTTCGTTTTTAAGATAATGTTAAAATACCTCCAGTTTAATTTCAAATTCATTCTAGCAATAAAATTTTGACAATCAAAAAAAGTTGTACATTTAAGTTTGATACTTTTTATTTTAAGTCAGAGTTTTGGCTATTTAAATGGCGTCACTTGTTTTTAGTAAAAATTTATAATTAAGTATATATAGAACCCTCGAAAAATAAATATGGGCTTCGGCTGATATTTATACTGCCAGGACATTTAGGCCACCTAAAATTTAATCCGCTAGGAATTTGGAACGTTGTGATTTTTAGTCCGTTCAGATATTTTCTTGGCTGAACATTTTATCCACTGGATATTTTATGTATAAGATATCACATTTGACCTCAGATATTCAGTTCAGTCATGATTAATTAGATCTTTGCTTTCCCCCATTTCATAAAACATAAAATTTTCTTAATTTAAATAATATTTCGTTATTTTATAAATTATATAGGTTTTTTTCAACTTTTAAAAATATTTTTTTAACCTTTGCAGATTTTAAAACATGTCTTAAACTCAATCTAAAGAGACAATTCTGATAACATTTTGAAGTTGTCAAATTATGTGGATATTAGAGATAAAACGATTATATTTTTATATTATTTTCTAGTATTATAATATTTAATAAAATAGCAAGTCAAAAATTAATGGTTGAATCAGAAATTTGCTAGTTATTTGATGAAATCGTATAATGGAAGTATAATTATTTTCAACATACTTAATTGAATATATTCTGCTCATCAATTCTAATATGCCGTAACTTTTGATTGGTGTTTACTGGAGAGTAGGAAGGAGGGGGGTAGACATTTTTTTAAAAAAATGCATATTTCGATTATATTCTTTTTCTAATATGCTAATACTTTGTCCCTTAATTTTAAGAATAAATCGTGATTAAGCAGCTGATATTATAATACGAAATTAGGTTTCTAATAAATAGCTGAAATAAGTTATATTATTTAGAATAACTTATATAATATTTATTTACCTCTATATGTTTAAATTATAAATCACCTTTGAATGTAAGTAAAGGGTATTAAACGAAAACAAATAATTTAATGAAATTTGGTTTGGGGAGGACCAGAAATTTCTATGAAGAGTCTGCCCCCAAAATGCAATTATTGGTATGGCAATAAATAGATTTTATAGTAGTGACACTAAGAAAAATTGTCTTTATGCATCTCGTCTAAAACATATATTTTTTTATTTTTTCACAAATCAACATATATCTTACAAACTATGCCACGTTCACATGAAAAAAAGCTCCCCAATGATGCATTCCCTTCGATTCCTATATTAAAAATTAGTAATAAGACAAAAGTTTTTACAGGACAAAAGAACATTGGAAGCCCTCAAAACATCATTTTAAGAAATTTTTAAATTGCTTTTAGAAAAGGAATCATTCTTTCATATTTTATCATTTCCCTCTAACTAACTATATAATATTATGGTTAAAAGATATTACTCATTATAAAATTTATAAAATTAATATTAATCATATATTTAAGTTGGTAGAATGGCTCAATAAAAATGTCTTGTTAGTGTTAACCATTGCCGCTGTTTTCGCTGGCCTACTGCTAGGTGTAATTGTTCGCGGATTCAAGCCAAATCTACTGACTATAACATTAATAACATTCCCAGGAGATTTGCTGATGGGAATGTTGAAAATGATTATTTTACCTCTCATAATTTCTAGTCTGATTTCGGGTAAAAAATATCATTTATATTTATTTTTTTTGCGTTGAAATTTTTTTATTAAATATTTTTTAAATGTTTTGTTATAATTTTAAATAGTTTGGAATCATATATGAACAAATAAAAGAGCGAATTACCATGATAAATGGTATATTCCGAGAAACGTTCATCCCATTAACTATAGTCATAGTAAAACTCCCCCCCTTCGGAAATTTTCCTGTTCTCGTAAAAATCATTTTAAGCTAATAATAAATTCTTCTAGATACACCTACCACTGGTGTATTCAGAATTTTGCTAGTGGAAGGGGGTGGGGCAATATCCCCATAAAATTTGTTGGAGATCTTTAAGTCCACTAATTGTAGGCCTTTGGCTATATTACATTTTTATTAAAATAATAATTGGTTTTCACCTTTTTTTTGTTTAAAATGACTATTCCCTGAAAGTCTTATTTCATAAGAATACCACAATCTCAGTTTTAAGAATATTTATATTGAGTTTGTTAGACATAATAAACCTTGATCCTTATTGGAAATAGAATAATATTGTAATATTATATAATTTCATAATATATCTTGACTGTTTTTTTTTGAATAGTTTCAAAGCGAAATTATTTTATTAACTGTGACTGAATAATATAATCAAAAATACTCATTATAATTTTTCCCATTTCATTTCTGCCAAACAAAATGTTTCTTTATATGAATTAACTATTAAGGCCTATCTCAACTGGATGCCAAATCAAGTGGCAAAGTAGGTTATCGAGCATTGGTTTACTACATATCTACGACAATAATGGCGGTCGTTCTGGGAATAATCTTAGTTGTTATAATACATCCCGGCAATCCTGATATTAAAAAACATTTGGCCACCGAGGAGGAAACAACTGAACCTCCATCTTCTTTAGACGCCTTTATGGATCTCATCAGGTGATATTCTCGTAATATAATAAAAAATAATTGACTTATAATATATAGAACATTTAGTCGAATATTAGGGGAGACCGGGGTAAAGCGATTGACGGGGTAACAATGTTAACGCGAATAACTTTTTATCCATTGAGTATAAAGACCTTAAATTTGGTGTGAAGATGTATTTTTATATCTAATTTCTTACCTATGTTCATCTTTTAAAAAACTTACCTGGTTTTATAAATTTTGTCAAAAAACTGTTTTTTACCCAAAAAATATAAAAATCAATCTCTAGTATATTTTGCTTTTAGTAAAATTTACATATCCTCAGAATTCAAAATTTGGCACACATGTTTCTTAATGTATTAACTATAAAATAAAATTTATCTGACATCTTTAGCTATATTAGAAGTCACGCAATAACGATATATATAATATATGTCACCTAGGGGTAAAGCTGTTATGGGTAAAACGGTTAAAATATAAATTATTCACATTAAATTTTTCATTCATTCATTTATTATAATCAAATAAATATTGATATTTAATATTAAAGTTACCAATTGAGCATTATTAAAATTATGAAATTAATTCAATTTATTTAATTAATTATATATCATTTTAACTCTATGGAACTGGTATTGTTAATTATTAAAATGAAATAGTTTTATTTTATAAATAAACAAGATAAGAGGATTTGCATATCAGCTTGCTAAAGAATATGGCAAATCTTTCCCAGAAAGCTGGACAACTAATGGTATGGCTGGAGAGAACTGGTTTATGGGGTTTAGAAAACGACATTCCCAACTTTCGATTCGTACCCCTGAAGCTACTAGTCTAGCAAGAGCATATGGCTTCAATCCACAAATGTCAATAAATTTTTTGAAAATTTAATTAAGCTATATAATTCTTATAACTTTGAACCACATAATATATGGAATGCAGATGAAAGTGGTTTCACCACCGTTCAAACTCCTGCAAAAATTATAGCACAGAAGGGTGCCAAACAAGTCGGCTCTATAACGTCAGGAGAAAGAGGAACGTTAGTTACAATATGTTTAGCCATCAATGCCATAGCATTCCACCATTTTTATTTTTCCAAGAAAACGATACAAAGATCACTTTATTCGTGATGGGCCTATTGGATCTAAGGGTGTGGGAAACACATCGGGTTGCATGCAAGAGGAGGAATTTTTATCTTTTTTGGAACACTTTAAAAAATATTCTAGTGCATCCAATGAGAAAAATGTCTTATTAATCTTAGATAACCATAGCTCTCATTGTTCAATTTCCGTTATAAACTATTGTCGCTCCAATGGGATTGTTATTCTAACACTTCCACCACATTGCTCGCATAAACTCCAACCATTAGACAAAGCAGTTTATGGGCCATTGAAAAAGTTTTATAATGGAGCTATTGACACATGGATGAGAAATCATGTGGGGCAACAATTTCAGATTTATGATATTCCAGGAGTGTTAAAAAATGAAATACCAAGGGCAGTGACACCAAATAATATATTAAATGGGTTCTTAGCATGTGGCATATTTCCTTTAAACCCAAATATATTTACAGAACAAGATTATATCTGCTGTAATAATTCAAATGCTAGCTCAAATATTGAATTTGAAAATAATGATGAAAATATTACAGTGACTCAAAATAATGATAGTGATTTATCTATATTATTGAACGAAAATGTTCCAGATGATATTGATGAACCCTATCATGATATGTTACCATCATGCTCAAAAAATTATAATAAAGTATTCAATCCTTCATCTATAATACCTATTCCAAAATTATTCAATATTTCATCGGATAAAATATCTAAAAAAAAGAATTCAGAAATATTAACATCTACACCTTATAAAAAAAATTATTAATTCAGAGAAAAAAAAGATATCAAAAAATAATTGTTTATGTGTTATTTGTAATAAAAACTATAAAAATAGTCGCGAGGGCGATGAATGGCTAAAATGTACAATGTGCCTTGAATGGGCACATTCTAAATGTGCTAATTATGATAATTATTTTACATGTCCTTATTGTATCGATTAGTTTTTAATTAAAAATCATAAATAAATCTTAAATTTGTAATATTTGTTAAATAAAACAATAAATATGTGTCAGATATTATTTTAACCACTTTACCCTAGTGCATGGCGAAAATGAGTAGTTTTACATAACAAATCATAGCTCCTAAAATATTATAGATAGAGGGCTACACTTTTTTTTATCTTATAGAAGAGGGATGGGGCTACACATTGATCTATAATTTGTTGTGTTTGACTCTTGTTTAAAATTTTTATAGTAAATATGCAAAATGCCTATCGTTTTACCCCGGTCTCCCCTACTTAAATTTAAAGAATTTTGTCAAGAATCTTCCAACATTAATGTTTGACATTTAGTATCGGTTGAGTTCTAATCTTATACATTTTTTTGTGAATCCATATATAATTGCGATACTTTAAAATAATATATATATGCCTATTATTATTATAATATATATATATCTATTATTATTTACATAGTTTTTGATTTGTGTTTTTTTTTATAATGCTTTACAGAGAATATCGAAGTATAAATTAATAAAAGAAAAAGGGGAAAATAAATATATGATAACTTTAGTGGACCAAAATGTGTATAAAGTCGCATCCATTGCTATATTTATATTTTAATCCTTCCTATTTTCTATTTTCGATAGAAATATGTTTCCCGAAAACTTGATCAAATCCTGTTTTCAAAGTATAGGCACGGTCTATAAAAATGTAACAGTCAATACTCCTCAAGTTATCGCGAGCAACCCTTCACACACTCTTCCAATTTTGTCAGGAAACGCATCGAATCATTCAAACTCTCACGTTGTTTTACAGAGGGGATTGGAATACAATAACAATATGAATGTTCTAGGTTATATCCCTCGCTGAGATATAAATTTTTATTTATACTTGATTATCTATGTCCTTATGTCCTTGAAATACAGTTATTTATTAGAGAGACATGCATCCCACTTATTTGTTTTAAATCAGGCCAGATTAGAGAAAAAAAAACTTTAGTAGGACACATCCAATCGTAGTTACATATCCATTATTTTTCAAAATTTTATTATAAGACCAATTGATCCAAATTTTGTTTTTTTTATTGGACTATATTGAAAAAAAAAGTATACTATATTTCAAACGAAAGCGGATAAATTATAAACGCTGGAGGAAAATAAATTAGGAAAACAAAACATTTTAATAAAATTAATATGCCGACCTGCGAGCCAGATCCGGTCCGATTTAAAATTTTGGAACAATCCAACAAAAGGATTGCGTGAGGTCCCATTTGATTGGTCCGTTTCATTTTATAAGTGCGGAGAGGGTAAAGTTCGATACTAAAAAGATTAATAGGTTTAAGTAAAATGCGTATATATTTCTTCATTTTTTTTTTGAGTTTAGTATGCCTTTAATAAAAAATTTTACGATTAAAGTATTAACCTGTTCTATTCCATATGTGTTTGTTTTCAAGGAATCATAACATTTTCAACCGCTTTCGGTATAATAGTAGGACAGATGGGAGAAAAGGCTGGCATCATGATAGAATTTGTTAACGTGTTAAATGATATCATCATGAGACTCGTTTACTTGATTATGTGGTAAGTAAAAAAATATATATATATTATGTACAATATTTAAACTTAAAAAATATTTAAACTTAAAAAATATTTAAAAGAAATAAAGATAATCAAAATTATATTTAAAATTGTTCAAAAGCATATTTAAATTATTCTATATATATTGGTTAATAGGTACTCACCTTTAGGTATTATGTGTTTGATAGCCGGTAAAATTCTGTCCATTGAAAACATAGCACAATTAGTGGAACAGTTGGGAATGTATATGGTAACCGTTATAACCGGTCTGGCCATACATGCTTTGATAGTTTTACCTTTATTGTATTTTGGTTTGACCAGAAAAAATCCTTACATTTTCATGAGAGGAATGTTGCAAGCCTGGGTCACCGCCTTGGGAACTTCTTCAAGGTTATACATAATAAATAATATACATATAAATTAGTACTCAATCAAATATTATCATGAAATTGTTAAAGTTTTAGGATATTTCGCCAAGGGATTGTTTAATTATATTTTTTTTTCATTGTTTGTACCTCCTGTGTCTTGTCTCCAACCCCCAATAACCAAAGTAAACAAGGAAGAACGTTATCGAAATGACATAGGGGTATATAATATGTACTCCTCACAGTAGTAATCTGAGGAATAAGCTATATCACTCCCTTTAACTATCAATTTGGTAATTATACAAAATTTCAGCCCTTTCTATTTATGGATGTTCCTTATTAATTTATATGGTATTCTTTTATGATTTCATTAATTATTTAAGTTATAATCGATTTTTAAGAAATTGCATTTAAAAAGGTGATTTAAAAATATAATTAAATAAATTATTAAAGACATCTTAAAAAAATATATAAAAAACAAATAATGGTTTTGATTTTGATTTTAAAACAATATATGAAAACTAATTATGATATAAGTATAACCATGAATATGTTATTTCTATCGAGAATCCATCACTGCGATAAAGTTAACCTTGGTTACTCATAAACGTTTTAATAATCGCTCAACTCATAGAATGTAATCCTTTTTTATTAAATTTACTTGTCTAATTTGACAGGTCATATGCTTGTAAATAGACGAATAGAAATTTAAATAAACCAGCTGTAATAAAGGCAATTTCCCCTCAAATTGGATTTAAGTGCTATTTTAATTTTAAAAAAACCTTTTATTTATATTGTGTTTTTATTTTTTAAATCTTGATTTACTCTGTCCCCATTTAATGTTACTTAATATTTATAGTTGTATTTTTTTAAATAATTCGCATCTGTAAAAATATTTTTTTGCTCTATTTCAATTTAGTAGAGTGTAATCATTAATGATAATTTTATGGAAACAACTCTTTGAAAAGCCCTTTACTTTGAAATAATTATTATTCTGGCTAACAGACCCTTAAATAATATCCTCATAGCTTCGGAAAACAGAGAATGCAAATGTAATAATTGATAACTACGAATTATTACTACAGAAATGCGAAATTTTTTAAGTGAGTTTAAAAAAACTAGCAGATTTAGCAAAGAGTATACTGATGTTTATAGACATCATAATATTAAATTAAAAAATAAAATATATATATACTTTAATAAAGCTCTGCAACTTTACCCATAACTTTTAAATGTCTGGAAGAAATTAACAAAGTAGATAAAAGAGTCACCAGATTTGTGTTACCCGTTGGCGCCACTATAAATATGGATGGAACGGCTCTTTATGAAGCAGTAGCGGCATTGTTTATAGCTCAAATAAATGGGATTAAACTAAATGCCGCACAAATTATTACAGTTAGGTTTAAATTTTTCAAAATTATTTTTAATCTTACATACCATTGTTTTATATTTGTTTACAATACATATTGCCTACTAATTTTTCTTCGTGTTTAGCGGAAAAATAAGGATAAATATCGTTTAATGCAAAAAAAATCCTAAAAATTTATATTCAAATATCTTTATAGCTTAACAGCAACCATAGCAAGTATAGGCGCGGCAAGTGTACCGAGTGCAGGTTTGGTTACTATGTTATTAGTTTTATCATCCGTAGGACTACCGACTAAAGACATTAGTCTAATAGTTGCTGTGGATTGGTTACTGTAAGTATTTATAAGTATATATATAAATAAAATTTGGATGATGATGTAAGTTCGGTCAGTGGTGCCTATAGATATATTTTTAATGATTTTTAACATAGTTTTGAATTAGGTTTAATTTAATGTACATTCTAATTCCCAAATTTAATAAATATTTAAAAATATAAGAGATCGCATAAGAACGTCTGTAAATGTGTTGGGCGATGGTATAGGAGCCGGTATAGTCGATCACCTAAGTCGCGCCGAGTTAGATAAGATCGATGCAGAACATACTTTAATGAATTCTTCTTTTAAAGAAGATAGGGATAGTTACGAATCAGGTAATAAAAACCATTTAGAGATGATACATCTCGACCCAGGACATATTAATCATGAGAAAAATGAGAACGGAAATTCGTCAAAGTTTTCTCACGATCGATTTAGCACTCCTCAAATGTCTAAAAGCCTTATTTCTATCCCTGATGAGCATTTGACTGTTCCAAATAAGCGATTCGATGATTCAATAATATAGACCAAGGTGGTGATAGATTGTAGAAACTCAAAACTTTAATTGTATTTAATTATTTTAGAAGTTTAATTATTGAATATCCAACTCTTCTAGTAAATTACTAAGATTGGAAGATGATGTATAATTTAGAAAAATAGCTTACTGCATAACTTGTTCTAGCATTTGAATATATTTATTATTTAACTCTTGTAAATAAATATGTGCTTCAAATTTTTTTTTTGACCTTAATCTTTTATTCCATTTTAAAAATAATCGCTATTTAATACAAATTACTTAAAATTTTATCTTTAAGTTAAATTATATTTTAAATATCAACACAATTGAATACTAACTTAAAAAAATATTATTTCTTTTACAATTTTCGATAAAAATTTATAAATTGAATTAATATACTTATTTTAACAATTACGTAATTTCACTTATGTTCTTAAGTGATAAAAGGTACCAACATAAATATACACGTTGACTAAATATATTATTAATAATATAGAATCATTGATGATATAAAATAATTACATTTTTTTAACCATCGCCATCATCAAAATAAATTTAAAACATAACTCTTTTTCAATACGTTGTAAATAAAAAAAAGTATTTTTTATACATAATATTTTTACATTACATTTTTTTATTAATTGAAATATCTTTTGTAAAAAATTTTCAATAAAGTTGTCTAGTCATTATTGATTGCTGTTAGCTAACTCCATTAAGTTAGACATAACTTTTATTGAGGATTAGTAGTTTCATCAAATATTATTGCTAAGAGTGCTTTGAGTTTAAAAAAGATATTATATGGCTATAAAAATGTGGTAATATTAAATATAATGGATATATTTTCTTTACGATTATTTAAATCGTCTTAATCCTCCTATATTGGAAATGGTTTCTTACTATTATCCTTTTTTGTTTTATATATATATAAATATATTTTGTTTTTTTCTATTTTTACTTACGGTAGGTTTTTTATTTCCTTTTATTATTTCTTTCACGCAACATACATCAATTAAAATTTACAAAATAAAACATATCATAATCAATTTTTTTCTTTTGCTTCCATTATATATTCACTTTCTACCCCATCATCGTTATTCATCACAAAACAAAAATAATAATAATAAATAGTTTTTTTCCTTTTCGATAAAAAAAACGATAATAATAATAATTTTTTCCTTTTCGATAAAAAAACAATAATAATATTAATTTTTTCCTTTTCGATAAAATAATAATATTAATTTTTTCCTTTTCGATAAAAAAACAATAATAATAATAATATATAATAAAACTTTCATAATGTTCCTCAATAATGTTCCTCGTTATTTCTTTCATAATTCCTTGATACTGTTCCTCGACAACGATCAGCCATTATTAGTAATGGTTTATGGTTAGAAAGGAAAGTCTATTAATATAGCGAACGAGACAGTTATATGATAAAATTGTCTGAAAATTATATGGTAGGTTGCTCTATACATGTAGAAATATGATTCTGGTAAAATCAAGTATTATTTCAAAATTAGAACTCGCGCTATAATTAATTTGAAATTTTTGTAAACTTGGATCTTTGAAGCATAAACCTTAATTGGGTAAACTTCTGCGATATGTAGATACTTAATTTAGTGCATAGGCTTTGGGTGAAGATTTGCAAGTAGAAGCCAAAACCTTTCTACCATCTATAGCAAAATCATCGGACTTACATAACATTATTTTAGTTAATAATCTTAATTGAGGCGTCTCTAAAAATCGACTTAAATCGGGCTTTTTAGCAACACTAGGTTAGATCTCTCAGAGACTTTTTCAGTAGTAACTTGTATACTTACTCAAATGTTCAAATTAAAATACTTAATAGATCATATTTAATATAACTAAATAAAAATGATTCTATAATAGAGCTATCACTTAAAACTTATATTACCTTATATAATATAATTTAGCATACATTCATATTTCAATATGTTAAATAAGTTTACGAAAACAGCACATGTTATAAGAAACATAACTAAAACCGCAGCTCTATTTAAGAAACCTAACGCTAGTATTTATCGGCCTCAAATTCCACAAAATATTTTAGACAATGCAGGTTTGATATATAGATTAAATATACATATTCTTCTGTTAAGGACACGAATTATCACCAGGAGTTATGCCATTTAAGTTAATGCTTGTTTATAAAGTTAAACCACCTTATTACCTTCCTCATTATGAGCTAAAAGCTTTGAAAGAAGTGGGATTAGATAAAAATATTAAAGTAACTATTTATGTTTATAGAAAATATCAATTCATTTTTAACTAAGAATTATATGTACATATGATGCATATAGGATAATAAGAGAAATTATATATATAATATAAATCAGAAACCCTTATTGTAAAAATTTTCAAAGCTGGCTTGGATTTATTTTCTATTTTACCAACTCAAATAATTTTTTTTAGCCCATGCCCAAGTTTTAGATAGTTTATAAGTCTGACCTGGTGCAGATTTTAATTATCTTACTAATTAATCTTGGGTGCTTGGCTAGATTTAATGTCATTTTAGATCTACTCAAAGCTTGGTCTGTAGATCTCTTATATAAATATTAATTTTAAAAAATTAAGGCTTTGATAAAATATCATTTATTCAACATAATATCACATTTACTTTAGCATATTAAAATTTCATTAAATTATTAACTTGAAAACTAGAGACATTCGAATATTTTAATTATTATTGAACATAATAATAAAATAGTTTGTTAGTTCTAGCTTAATATATACATATTTTGTAAGCTTTATTAAATTCATTAAAATATTAACTTGAAAACTAGAGACATTCGAATATTTTAATTATTATTGAACATAATAATAAAATAGTTTGTTAGTTCTAGCTTAATATATACATATTTTGTAAGCTTTATTAAATTCATTAAATTATTAACTTGAAAACTAGAGACATTCGAATATTTTAATTATTATTGAACATAATAATAAAATAGTTTGTTAGTTCTAGCTTAATATATACATATTTTGTAAGATTTATTAAATTTTAATATATAAACAAATTTCCTAGAATAAAATTAATTTAGATGATTGAAAATTTAACCAAAATTTGTGATATAGTTGGTTACAAATAAAATATAAGAGAACTAAATTTGACAACTATGTAGTAGTGTATGTAACAAAAAGCAAACTATTAATTAATGTTCAAAATGTAAGGAACAATTTGAGATATAAGGGGTTATTATTGCTTCAAAATGTATGGAAACCTAATATAAATTTTTATAAATTAGGCAAAAATTGCATTATTATAATAGAAAACTGTCAATTGATTCTGGTGGCTATAATTAAGGTAAAATTTTGATGCTTCTAGTTTTAATCTTAAAAAAAAATTCAAAAATAATTAATTAACACAATTTATGCATAAAATTTGTTGATATTTTTCTATATTTGTTTATAAATTTTAATAGATTAGATTAATGACATTCGTAAACTAACAATAAATAATGATTAATTGATTAAATTATATTATTCAATTAATTTTAAAAAAAAATAATTACAAAATAAATTCATTTAAACTAAAAAATTTTTATCATAAATTGTTAACTAGTTTTTTTTTAAGGAGAAATATTTATTTTCATAAATTTTGATTAAAGTACTCCTTTATATTATAAATATAATTTTTTCTTTTTTATTCTCTAAAACGTTCATGTAAATATATTTTTAAATAAAATAGCCTATGAAGTTAACAAACATGCACATTTCAAAATCTTATTAATAAAAATAAATACATTAATTTTTTTTACTATAAAATTATGTTTCTTCAAGTACTCCCAGAGGGTAGTTATGAAAAATACCAGTGATATATGCAAAAAGCTATGGCAGGTAAAACATTTAATAAGAATAATCCCATTACGGTTTCCAAATGGAATTCCCGTATCGGACTCTGACGTCATGAACACTAGGATTAACCTAGAGACTGGGGAAGTCAGCGTTATTCACGAAATCAAACCCACAAAAAGTATCGAAGGAAGCCATGATGTTTTAGCCCCGGTTCCAGACGAGTTTAAAGATGTATACATGAGCGGGGAAGATTGCAGACGATACAATAGACACGTTTGGATTTGATGTTAATATTTTAAAATATAATCGTTTCTTTTATATATCTAAAATATTATTGTTATAATTTGTCTCTCAAACACCTATTGTATATATAATAAAAAAAATATTGAGATGCATATGTTTGACATAGGGAATCGAGTTTTAGGCATTCATCCTTCAGTGCTTTCGCATGGTCTATAAGGCATCGGACATATATTATAGTTAGTAATATCTCGTAAACGGTTTATTTATTATGACCCCAAATCTTTCTTAGCTGCATTAGATTTATTCTAGATTTTATACAAAATTATGACTCGGTAGTTTTTATAAAATATAAGCCATTCACGAAGAACTAAACCTGTCAAAAAACTCCCACAAAAGTATAGCTTACATACATTCACCTTTTTTGAAAAAAACACGTCCTTATTTATCCTTAAATGCTTCAAAACTCCCTCTTAACTACCTTTCATCCTCTTTCGCAACTGGTCCTTTGTCTAATTTATATAAATCATTTTTCATCCAATATTTTCAATTATCACACCCAGACTTCCATTTTCTGGTACTCCAAAAATTCGAGGCCAAATCGTTTGTATTACCGCTAATTCCGATGTTTCATTTGCCTCCCCCTTCTTATTTGATGTTTGTTTCAATAAAATCCTAGTTCGACGCCCAAGGAACTGCAGGTATTTGTTCTTCCCCCTTCCGACAATTATTATAATACACTCCTTCCTCATCTTTCAATCTTCAAAACCAATTTTTGACCAGAGCCACTATTTTCTCCTGGCCGAGCTTAGGTGATATCCTCTGCCCGAGTTTAAGTACAAAATATCTTCAAGTTTCTACTTAAGGTTTGACTCTAGTTATATTATTCTGGCCATCCCGAACCGGGCCTATGGATTTTTTATGTTTTTACTATTACTTGAGTCGTCAATCCTTTTACCTCTTCATACTCCAGCCCACTTTGAATAAGCATCTACTACAAGTGTATATATATCTTATTTCCAAAATTAATAAAATCAATGTGAATGCGCTTTCACAGCTGTATAGCAATCGGCCATGCACTTTTTTTTGTCTATATTTGGCGTACTCATTAAATTCACATCACGCAGCTCCGGCTTATATCTTAACTCTTTGCTCATTCCAGACCACCACGCATATTATTGCCCCCATTGCTTCATCCTTACCACACATGGACCCGCATGAATCATTGAACACAGCATCCTTTAAGTTGAGCCGTACTATTCCTAATTTACCCGTACATTCTTAATTTACACAGTGTAAATCCGGTCAAATTTACAAGCTTTAAATTAATAACTCGTACACGATGACTTTTACCGATATATGCAGTGGTTTCCCCAATTTAAATACGGTTTTCGCCAATATACACAAAGGTTTTCACCTATATATGCCCGCCGAGTTACCCCAATATAGATATGTTTTTAATGAAAGAAAAATTTTAGAATCCATTGATGAAACGAGAGATGGAATATCAATTCTCAGATATAAAGTTCCGATACCATATAATTATTTCCAATTATATTCTTTTTCTCTTCTTTTAATTCTTAAAACTTAAAATCTATGGATTAAGAAAAATGATCATTAATAGAGATGCTACATAAGGAATTCTAAATTTCCCCTATAGTTTTCCAAATTTTTATTTTATATTTTTTTGATCAAATAATCAGGATTTTAAAATTATATTTTAGAAAAATATTATTTCCTCTTGGTTCATATATCATCATAATAAAAAATTTTTTAACTTATAAGGTTTTATTAATTAATAGATATTTAACTTTCACATAATGTCCATTTGTTATAATTTCGTTATATCGACAATTTATATCAAGATAATTTATAATAATAGTAAAAAAAAAATAATATTAGTAAATCACAATTATATAATGTCATTAAATCTTGCTATTTTTTTTAAGAGATTCAAGTTCCGTTTTAGCGCTAACATTATAATAGGCAACAAAATGGCCAAAGTCTATACTATGCATAGGATGTTTAATTACGGGGTTTCGGATATTGAAAAAATAAAATAATTATATTTTACTATGTTTATGGCTAATCGTTGGCGTAGGTGTTGGGATCCTCGTTCCTAGCAGAGATCCGTTTTCCTAGCTCTTTAAAGAAGTTTAGGGCATGAGAGCCGAACGACGTTAAAGTAGTGGCGATTAATGGTAGGAATGTATAATTAGCGGGAAGAGATGGCGAATATTGAGCTAGTTTATTCGCCTTGGCATCTAGTATGGCATCTCTATTTATATTGGAAAGGGCAAGAGGATCGATGCATGAGAAATCCCAAGTTAGGAATTTCCCCCTCTTTCAAGGGATCATAGTCGAAATATCGGGCCGCTTACCATCGGAATTGTAAAGGCCAATTGGTTCGAGGGTTGATGCGATGCCGGCGGATTTTAAGACCCTGGCAATTGTATTGCATTTTGAATGCCTAATAAATCTGCCTTTACAGCGCTTGCAGTGTTGAGCAGGGTTACCATGTCTCCTCCCATCAGCGGGAGACTCCAGCAATTTTTTAGTTTACACACAGACATTTCTTTCCTGCAAAACTACCGCAATTGGAAATCTCCCGCATTTGGGATTAGTTCAATGATATATATCATTGGATTAGTTACACATGTAGGAAATCTACTTCATGCTGTTAATATTCTTTATTAATAAAGATTCACAAAATCATGCTACAGCTCTGTTCATCTCTACATAAAAGTTGATAATAAATTTTAGCTATTGCTAAAAATATCATATTAAAATGTTCAAATATTACTCTAATTAATGTATTTTTAAATGAAGCAAATATTTTTATTAAGACAATTTCAGAATATTTGCAATCAAAATTTGATTTTAATAACTCTATTTACAAATGCAATATGACCTTGGAGAAACCATCAATTGATAGTTTTTGTAAATTGATAAATATATTAAAAATACTGAAAAACATTGATATCTTGTTTGAGGAGATTGTAATTCTCTCTATTTTTTATAATTAGCCAGAATATTTAAAGTTAGATGGACTAAAAGTAGAGGAGAAATGGGTTGAATTTTTTCGTAATAACAATAAATCCCCATGCTTGGAAAAAATATGCGAGTATGTCTTCACCTTACCTCATTCTAATGCCTCATCCAAGCGCATTTTTAGCCTGATGAGGACTGCCTGGAAAAAGGAGAGAAATCGGATTGCTTTAACAACATTAGAGGCCGAGCTAATGGTTAAACAAATTTATAATATGTCATGCCAGAAATTTATAAATATCTCAATAACGACGGTAAACGTTTAGTTCTATTATTTAAATCTCAAATAAAATATAATTAACATTATAACTATTTAATTTTCAATATTTTTTTATATTTTGTAAAATCTTATTTATACATTTGCATAAAATATATATATTTTTACATTGTAAATCAAAAATAGAGAGCATTACAATCTCCTCAAACAAGACATCAATGTCTATCGGTATTTTTAAAATATTTAAACATTTTAATATAGTTTTATCAATGGCGCCATAAAATATATTGTCAAATTTTAACTGTAAAGATGAATTCATCTGCAGCATAATTTTGTGAATCTTTGTTAAGATTCTTCTGATTACAACTGCACATTAACAACATGTAGTAGATTTCCTACATGTGAAATCAATCCTAAATATACCTCTGCCATTTATTATTGAAAATAAATTTTCAAAATGTTAGGACAACTTTTATAATCTTTATTTAAGAAATATATTTTTAAAGGTTTATAAAATTTTAAAATTCTATCGATGACGGGTATTAGGAACATATCGCAACCAACATTGTGCTGACTCAATTCTGTAAATACACTTTGTTTCTACCAAATTCACTGAGGCATTATTAGATCAGAAAGCTGACATGCAATTTATTAATAATCTCGAATCTGTTATATTTACCTTTATATGGTTAGCGATGTCTTTGGATTTTTCACTATTTGAGGGGAAAAAATTTAATAGTTTTATTGAAACGACCTTAATTTTGTTGAAATAGCGGAGGATCAAGGGAGATATTTCAATATTTCCCTTATTAGATGCATCTGTTAGAATTGCATATGTATGCCCATCTTTCAAATTGTCAAGAATTTACCTCCTGGATTTAGGTCCTAAAACATTGATAGCCTTGCTCATTTTTGTTCTACAAGTATAGTTTTCATTTATATTAGAGTCGTTAAATATTATGAGAAAATATTCTACCAACATTGTGATTATAAGTATCTCTGTGAATGTTGCACAACAAGATAAGTGATTAAAATTGCCGCAACTGTAGTTACATCTGTATTATTTCTTATTTTTGGAGTACCTTATTATGTATTTAAACGTGATACGTGATAATTAAGAGCCTATCCCTATAATGTTATACACACACACGGTAGATTTCCAATTGCGGTCGTTTTGCGGGATTCACATAAAATATATTTTTAATTGTAAAATTAAATCGTTTTTTTAAATAAAATTTTATCTTGTTTACATTCTTTTATATTTAAAAAAGATCGTTGGTTTTTATTTATAAATTAATATATTCTAATAAATAGAGACGTATTTTATTTTTAAAAATAGTTACCGACTTTGTATTAAGTCAATTCAAAATCCCGGCCGAAGGCTGCTAATAAATTTTTTTTATCAATTTTTATATTTCTATCGCAATTTTCATATTTCTCCCTCATAATTCCAAATTTCTCCCGCAATTTGAAAATTTTGACCTGGCAACCCTGGTGGAGAGTGACGGCTTTTAGAGTTGACCGACGTTTGACAGAGGATACAGTGATAAGGTATTACCATATCACAATTCAGTCTAGGACTGATGGCGTGACGTAGCTCATCATTGCTTAGGAGCTGGTCAAGTTTTCGGGATGGGAAGGTCTCAAGAAATTCGTATCCACTACCGGAAATGGAGAAGAGTACAGAATGGTCCTCTAGTTGGCTACTCGATTTAAGGAATGCATCACAGTTGCCAACTAGAGGTTTATCCCAATCCTTCTGTAATGCCGACGATGGAGGATCGATTAATGAGAGCAGGGTCTACATGAGCGGGAGGGGTAGGAACAGTTTGCATCCTGTTTTTTTGAGGGGGTAGGGGGTAAGCTGCTTTAATGGGTTTAGGATAAATTTTTTGGGGGGTTTGAGAAGAAATAGGACGAAATTTATTGCTGTAAAAATTAATACTTTTATTATAGTATTATTATAATACAATTCATTGACCAAATCTATATATTGCAAACAATCATACACATTGTTTTCCAAATAAACTATCCTTTTAAATGTAATTTAAAAGGTTTAGATATTTCAGCAATCTCATAATGCCATAATAATTAATTCATTGTAAATAATGGAGGTTTTAATTGAATTTATTATTTAAAAAATATATTCTTTATATTCACAAAATATCGATAGTTGGTAGTAGAGATAGATTAATTTAAGTTATCCTTTATAAATTCTTTGAAAAGAGTATCAATAAATAAATAGGTGAAAATAATGATAAAGAGGTGGGAATTTTTTATGGTAGTGGGCAAAGGTTTTTGAAGGGGGTTTGCATCCAGTGAAAATCCTGTCATGTAGACGCTGAATGAGAGGGACATCCATAGATCAATTGCCTGTAGGAGTAAGGGGTCAGGATGCTTTGTTAGTGTTTGAATGGTGGGCTCGCAGGACAAGCGAGAGGATATGAACGCACTAACAGAAAGTAGGGAAGGTGACCTTATATCAATGCCGTCGGATTTTTTGTATTTATGTTCATTTTCAATAATAATATAATAATAAGTAATGTTCACAGGAGGGAAATTTTTTAATGACTAAAATATATTTAAAATTTTTATTACATTGGGGCAATCATTAATATTTTTTCCCTAAATTTAGCCTTCAAAATTTTTTCTAATGTCTAATTCAAATAAAAAAACAACTAGAAATAAATAATAGCCACCCCCTTAAACTGATATTTCCTAGCTACGGGCCAGAGTATTAATGTCTACAGAGTTTTTGCAAATCACTAAGTATAAAAAAACTTACTATTATAGCTGAGGTGTATTGAAAAGTCTTATGATATCATTAAAATCTATTTGACGGAGTTGACTACCGCATGATATTTGATATGAAGATGGCTGTGTTTATCTTTTTTTTTAGATATCTATATTATAATTTTCCGATGTCCTCACTATCTTATCGTGACATCATGTCTTTGCTACGTATTTATTTATTTTTTTATGGGCTTGAGAAATTTTTTAAAAATTAATAAGGTCTTGGATGCTTGGAAAATTTTAATATACAATATGGTTATTGGGTTAAAAAAAAATTTTTGGCTTGGGATTTTTTCATAATAAATATTAAATATTAGCCATTAGGTAATCAGTAATATTTTAGCAAAAAATTTCATATGGGGTAAAAGGTAATTTAAATATATTTGACTCAAAAAATACTTTTAGTTTTAAAAGGTTGGACTTGATACGAATGGTAAAAATTGGATATGATTTTTAAATGAAAGGTAACATCTAACGTAAGAGAATGAATAAAATTCTCATTCCCCGTCATTTTTGACGGGTTATCTACTAGTAATAATAAAGTAGGAATAATATAAAAAATATATTAATTCCATATATTTATTATTCCTAAAATCTTTCTTATTTTACAACATTAATAATTTTATTCTAATAATGATTGACATAATTATATTCTATAAGATAAACCTTTTCGATTTTTAAAGTGATCATGAAAGATATTGGTATTAAATTTTACACATATCTTTAAAATTCAATAAATTTTTATAGATTTTAACTGGATCAATTCAATTCCAGATAATTATTTTTCAGACACTTTAAAAAGAATATCGGATATCAAAGAAAAAATTAATTCCAAGAATACCGTAATTGTAATAATTAATGAATAAATATCAAAATTTTATTAGCATAAAGAATTAGTAGAATTTACTGAATATTTAGATTTAACATCTCTTAATGATATAGATACCACATCCAAAATTTTAGAATTGTATCAAACAGCTTCTCATCCATTAATTTCTTTAGAGACTACAGGTATATTTTATTGAATATATAAATATATTTTATTTTTAATTATACAAGTTGCATCTGTATGTGTCTATCCTAAATATGTGTTATTGTGTAAAAATTTAAAAGGAAATATTCCCATAACCACAGGTTTAAATTATTAAAAATTAATTTATATCCATGTTAGTTGATACTAGTTTTCCTCATGGAAAATTGCCTTTAGATATATCGATTAAAGGAATTGAGAATTCTATCATTAATGGTGCTCATGAAATTGACATTGTTGTTGACAGAGCTAATATAATTGAAAAGAATTGGCAGGGTAAGATATTTTAACTATAAATAATTTTTATTGCATTACTGCTCAAATAATATCACTTTATTAATCTTTCCCTATTTTTCTTGAAATTAAATATCTTATAAAAATAGGTTATAAAATTAATTTGCACATCTTTTTTATGAAACTTATCCAACAAAAATCAAATATTTATTTGAAAGAAATCTGTAATAAATTAATAAAATATTATTTATAGATATTATATATAAAAATAGAATAGAATATTCAAAAATTAATAAATAAAAATTTGATGTTTGAAATAAATTGAAATATAAATTAGTAGTCGTATTGTTTATAAATTAGTAGTTGTATTACTACAAATGGCGATGATATATGGAGAAAATAATTCCTTAAATGGAGAAAATAATTCCTCAAATGGAGATTCAAAAAAAATAGCAGATTTATCTACTATTAAATTTGATAAATTCGAGTTGGATACTTCAATCTATAGATACTTTTCTCAATGGGAAGCTAGAATGCATTTGATAAAGAGAATAATAAATACAAATATAATAATGATAAAGATTATAATAAACTTAAATGTTATAAATGTGGTTTTATTCATAACTGAGAAGTGAGATGTCCAGCTACAAATGCAGCATGTAATAAATGTAAAAAAATTGGTCATTTTGCAATTTGCTATAAATCAAAGAATTTAAATTATATAAGAGTGTCATCAAGTGATTCTATTCATAATATTTGGAAGATTCAACAAAATCAAGAAAATCGAGCAAAACTAACTGCAGAGATAAATGGGTTAGATGTTGAATTTGATTTTGACACTGGTGCACAAGCATCATTGATAGGAATTGATATATGGACAAGTATTGGACAACCAAAAATTAGGCCAACCAGTGCATTGACTGCATATGGTGATCATCCTTTAGACGTTAAGGGCGAGACCCAAGTCAATGTTAGGATTGGATCACAGACAAGGACTCTATCAGTGGTAATAATGAATACAACTGGGGTGCCTCTTTTCGGATTACCATGGATTATAGCATTCAATTTAGAAATGCCTCGTCAGGTTATGATTAAACAAGTATGCAATTTTGTCAAAAATGTTGCATAACACTAGATTCTAGAATTCAAGATTTGATTAATAAACACCAAGAAATTTCGGAAGAGAATCAAGATTCTAAACATGCTTTGGATATTTGAAGTATTAATTTGGATGATATGCAATTGTCAGAAAATATTCTACGAAAAGAGTCGAAGCAAGATTTAATATTAAAAAAAGTAGCAATACATATTCAGCAAATTTGGCGAAACTTTGATCGTCACAAAGATAAAGAAATAGTTAATTTTTATGATCGATGGGAAGAAATCATGATATTATAGAATGGAATGGGAGATTGGTTATACCTAATAAATTAAGAAATGCAGTGTTAGGAATGATTCACCGGGGACCTCCTGGGGAAAATGTTATGAAATCTATTTTTAGATTGTATTGTTGGTGGCCCAGATGTGATGTTGATATAGAAAATTTTATCAAAATATGTTCTGGATGCCAGAAAAATAGACCATGGTTAGAAGTTGATTTAATGCAGAATACCTCTGCTGATGCTATGATAAAACGACTAAAAAATGGTTTGCTAGGTTTGGAATACCCAAGTACATTGTGTCAGACAATGGACCCACAATTCTTATCTGGGGAATTCCGTAGGTATTGTGATTCAAATAACATACGTCATAGACGTTCAGCACCCTATCATTCAAAAACTAATGGAAGCTGAACGTACAGGACGAACTTTGAAAGGTTGGTATTATGCGACGAGAGATTTAATTAGCGATCCCGAAGAAGCTATGACACAGGTTTTAACAACCTACCGATTGGGAGAGCATAGCTCCACAGGGAGATCTCCTGGTAAAATTATGTTTGGGAGGCAATTGAAAACAAGTCTGGATTCGATTCGACCAAATGCCGAACACGAAATAGTAAGGGCCAATGATAGACAAAGCCTTCATCATGATTTACATTTAAAGGAAAGATAATTTGAAATCTCACAACCTATATGGTTAAATAATGAAAATACTAATGGTTGGAGAGAGGGAGTAATTAAATAAAGAATAGGACTTTATTCTTATATTGTTGAATCTTCTGGGAAAACATTACGGAAGCATGCAGATCAGTTAAGAAATCATTTAGTTATCCCAAATCATGAAAGTTCTTTGGAAGTTACAGAAATGGTTGTGCCAGTGAATGAAGCAAACACAAATACAAATACCACATTACGTTGTTCATCAAGAAACCGTAAACCTACAAAGAGGTTTATTGAAGAAATCTAACTTTAAAATGTTTGAAGGAAATGTAATAAATTAATAAAATATTATTTATAGATATTATATATAAAAATAGGATAGAATTATCGAAAATTAATAAATAAAAATTTGATGTTTGAAATAAATTGAAATATAAATTAGTAGTTGTATTGTTTATTAATTAGTAGTTGTATTACTAAAAATCTATCACATTATTTTAGGCAATACATTTAATAAGTCATTCATTCCAAGTTAAATAAAAACGAGATTTTTGACTGCCTTACTTGAAAATGACTGAAATTTATATGATGGTTATATATCCAAATTAAGTAATTATCAGTTTAGAAGCTCTAACTCAAGTGGATCTAGTGTTAGACTCTGAAAATTTAATACTTTATAAAAATTTATAAATTATATATTATTTTGTAGCCCTTAAAATTCTCTTTAAGAATATATAAAAATATTTTTAAAAATCCTTCAGTGTCTTTGTATTTCTAGCAAAACAAATAGGTTATTTTGAATTTACCCCACTTTGGGTGAACACTGGAAATGTTTATTGCCCATATATTTAAGTAAGAATTACTATGGGAATTTTTTTTAGTTTTTCATAATTTTGGGAATAAAAAAACTCAAATAATATATTATGACAAATCCCGATTTTTTGATTAAATCAAATTATAGTATAATAATATTAAATAATTAAAATAATAATAGACCTAATATTAATTAAAATGAATATATACTATAAAACAAATTATAAAAATTAAGCAAATGTTTATAATTAGCAAAAATGAAATTGATCATGATTTAAAGAAATTTAATTAATTCATCCCAACCCTAGTTAAATATAACAGAGACTTGCAGACATAATTTTTTAGCCTGATCTGGCCAAGATTTAAAATTTATTTATTTTTTCAAGCCTGATTAAATACAGATTCAAGAATATTTTAAGCTTATACAAGGATTTATATTGATGTCCAAAAAATTGAAGAAGCTCAAGAATTTTTAAACTATTTAATATTTATTTTCAAAGTGAATTTTAAGGGCTATAAAAGTTTATATAATTTATATATTTTGACTAAATATTTATCGAGTAATTTGAGATTCTTAAAACCGAGATCACAGCTATATTAGACTTTGTAAGCCTATAATCCCAGTGAACCCTTTAGTCCACAAAGAATTCATTAAGTTGAATATCCTTCCATAAAGGAAGAAGGAATTGAGATTTGAAAATACAAATGAAAATATTTTTGTTTAAAATTTTTTATTGATCATGAGTTAAATTTTTATTTTTGATGAATATTATTAACTTATAAAACTAATGATCAGCTAATTTTTATATAAAGTATCTTCGATCTCCGATACTTTTATCTGTTTCGAATATACTTATTTTTTTTATAAAGAAGTATATTATTTTTAAAGACCCCACTCCATTGATTAGATTATATATTTTTGATTTAATATAAAAAAAATGTAAAAATAAAAAGAACTCTACCAAGAAATCAAAGCTAAAAGGGATTGCATAACAAGTATAGGAAGTAAGCTAGGCCAAAAGGTATGCATGAAAACGATCATCAGTGTTGGCGATATACAAGATTCTTTGCTTATTTACATAGCCTCATATATTGCTATGATGGCAGGTTTCTCCAAATATATTTTGAGAAAAAAATTTAAATATGTATATAAAAGATTTACTAATTTCGTGATATCTTACCATTTTTATGTATTTAATTATAAGGCACTGATTTTGTTAAATCGTCAACTGGGAAGGAACCTAAGAGCACTGACCCACCAACAGCCTACGCAATGCTTAAGGCGATCAAAGATTTTTATAATAATACTGGAATAGAAGTTATCTTAAAAAATTATATATTGTAATTAAGATAATATTAGCTAAAACAGAGATATTTATATTGGGAATTTCTTGTTAAAAAAATTAAGCTTACCTGCTAGAAAATACATATCATTATTGGTTGGATTCTACTATATAGAAATAGTTATTAATTATGTATCTCCTGATTAATTACACCGAGAGCCACTTATTAGATTCATACAATATAAATCTAAATAATAATTATAATATATTTCATTTTCGAAAAAACTAACAATAGGTCGGGTTTAAGGTAGCGGGAGGAGTCAAAACGGTGCCTCAGGCTGCTTTGTATAAAGCAATGGTGGTAGATATTCTGGGCAATGAATGGTTGAACAGAACGAAATTTAGGATAGGTGCCAGTTCCTTGCTAGAGGATATAAGAAAATGTTTATTGGAAGCAAAAAATTAGTCGCCAAATTATTTCTATTTCACTTTATATAATCAAAATAAATCGCATTTTTTTAGAAAAATTTTAAATACAAACCATGAAAAAAAAATGTCGTGTTTTTTTTTCTATTATAATTCTTTTTGCGTTATAAATTTATGAGAATTTATATTTTTTAATATTTAGTTTTTTTCGTGGGTATGACTGGTCAAACGGATCTATTATCCGACCCAAACAAAGAACGAGCTTAGTTAGCACTAACAAGCCCTATTTCTAAAATAACCTAACTTTATATTCAATGAAGGTCAATAGTCCGGTCTTTTTTCGAGGAATGTAGTCCAGACACGTCTGGGTCAGGTTTTTTAATAGGGTTAGGGTTATTTGGTTTGCCTGACTATTCATTATAAATATTTCTGGAGTTATTTTAGCTTTTTGTGATTTTTTTTATTTTGCAATATACTATGAAAACGAAAAGTTTGTCGAAAAAAACATTTTATTTTAAATTAAATATTATAATATTGATTGTTTTGATATTGTTAACACAAAATAATTTTATATATAATAAAATAATAAAACAAAGATTAAACTAGGGAAGGCTGGTTTTTTTTATTTAGGATTAAGGTCTGGACTGGTCTATTATTTAAATAACGTGGTCTGATCCATGTGTGGATCGTGACCTTCACTGCTTATATTTCACTTTTGATGACTTAAAATAAATATAATTAAGAACCCTCGAATTTTAAAATATTTAGTAAAGGATTATTAACGTATGAAAGGAAAAGAAAAATGTTGCATTAAATTAATAATAAAGATGAAACAAACTAAAAAAAAATCCATTGAAACTAAAATTAAGATGCCATCAAATAGCATGAGGACACAATAAAAAAGTTATTGGCCATATATTTTCAAGTTTTAACTCAATAATCGTAAATGTGACAATTAATTTTTAAATCAATAAATTTCAAAGTAATTAGTAACAAATTTATCCATAAAAAATAGAAAAAAGGAATAAAGAACTTTCCTTATGATTTAGAAATGTAATATTCATTTGTACATATAAAAATTCAAATTTTGTTAGTCAGTCGCCAGTATAAATTACAGGGACCCGAACCGTTATTTATAACGGTTCAGTTTGGTTACGTATGAAAAATATTATAATGGTTACGTTTTGGTTACGGTTCTTAAGAAAAAATTTACAAAGGTTCGGTTCAGCTAATTATAAAGGTTCATTACGGTTAGAATTTTTTTTTTATTGAAGCAACACCATGGTCTAATTTATTTTTATTATAAGAATCTATAAATTATATATAAAAAAATATATAAGATTCAAAATAACTCATTTTTAAATATATTATAAGTAATATATTTTCTAATATAAATGGATTCATATTTGTTGGTTGTGACGATAACACATATTTTAGCCTCGAAAAGGCCCTTTCTACAGAAACTTGTGTTTCGGAACCGTCAGTACTACAAGAGCAAGTTTATATAATCCTGGATATTCAAATTTTTTTGATTCCTAAAATATAAAAACTGAACGGTTTAACCTTTTTTTATAAAGGTTCTTTTTACTACTTCAAAAAATAATTATATAGGTTCGATTACGGTTCTGATATTTATAATGATTTAACGGTTCGTTACAGTTCACTAAGGGTCCCTGATAAATTATAAGAAAGCATCTTATGATGTAACCTATTTTAGCAAAATCAGATTAAACATTTTTTATGGCTTTTAAAAAATCGAGTGAAAGAATAGGAAATACTACGTCAATAAATTATTCATAGATGTAGGAGAAAGAGAAAATTGGATATAACTGATTATATTTAATATATACTATCTAACATCATTTGGCTTATATGTAAAATCTATTTTCAAGTGCGGGAATATATCGACATCAGTTGTATATAGTAGAATTCTTACTTAAAGTTAAGTTATATCCACCATAAAATCTCAAGGTATCTACTGTTAAGGTTCACGCTCATTAGTATATACTATCCAATGACATATAATAATACCTAGACTGACGATTCATTCATTAAAATGCATTTTTAAGCGTCGTTAAAAGCAAATCAGCTGGACCCGCCATTTTGGTAACCTTTATAATAATTATTTTCATGTTAAAAACTAATATTAAATTGATAACTTACTTTCTTATTATCTCGATGAACAGGCAATTCTTTAATAAAGTTTGCATCAGATATAATATAAAATTAGGCTCTCGTTTAAAATTTTAATATTTATTACAGTAACCAAGATGGCGTCTCTAGCTGATTTGTATTGATGTACACTTTTAATGAATGAATCGTCAGTCTAGGTATTATTATATGTCATTGATACTATCTATATATTGTTTTGGTAAAAAATAATTTTCCAATTTATTTTTGTATAAATGTTGCGACTTTATTGTAAAAGAATAATGATTGAATAAAATTTGGATATAATTTAAAAATTAATAATCCGATTTCCATAAAATTATAAAGCTTTGTAAAAATGAAAAAATAATTTATTTATTGAAAATTTTTAAAAATAATATAAATATATTAAATAAGTGATACAAAATGCAAAGAAAATTCTTTATAAAATATATATATACACAATTTTATAATTGAATATCTTTGGAAGACCAAATTTATAAAATCTCAATTTTATCAAAATATAAATATCTTTTTTTTTAAATATAAAATTAATAAATAATTTATATGAACCATAAAACTCATTAATGGAGGGGTTATAAAAAAGAAAATTTGGCTAGTGACATTTGTTTTTTGAGGTTCATAATCTCCCAATATATCTCTTTAACTATAATATAAAAATATGTTTTATTAAGCAAAAATTTCTTGTAAATTCATCTAGCAAACCCTTCGAATTATATACATTTTTAAGGAATTAACATTTTCTTAAATTAAGAGTGAACGCTTAGATACAAAATCACTAGTGAATTAAGAGCTGATCGATCGCGATCCCTAATTTCCAATTACGATAATAATTTAAGAATTATTATTTAAAAAATCATTTTATCTCTTTTAAAATGATTTATTTCAGCTTTAATGAATTGGCAAATTATTTTCCATCCTATTTATTTTTAAAAAAATATAATCGATTATACTTTCAGTTTTGTTCAATAATCCGTTTTCAATGTATCTTATATAACTAAGCATGTCACCGACTGCAACAATCTTGGGAAAATATTTTTGTACGAAATAAATATTTGTAACACAAAATAAAAATTTCAAAATATAAAAATTTCATTTTTTAAAAAAAAATCTTATACAATTATTTTCTGATATAAATTAGAGAAAAACTATAACGGTAAATTTGAATAGTGTTGTTAAAAAGCCAGATTAGGGTCAATTTTAACGGCCCGATTAAGGCTACATTATGTAAGCCTAAAGATTTTGCTCAGAGTTAGCAGAAATGGACTTTTTAACAATACCAAACTTGAAAAATAATTTAATCGTCAAGGCTTCAGATGTATTATTGCCTGATCAACTATATTATAACCTTATTGACTAAGTATACTTAATAATAAAAAAAACTGTTTATAAAATTATGGAATAATTTGCTTAATAAATACTAAAATAATCTGACCCTGTTTCTAGTGGATTCGCCAACATAATAAAACGGCCCAATTTCTTCCAGTTTCATTTTGTAAGGGCATATTTTAGTTGTGTTAGTTAGCGAGCATTGTCTATCAAAAAATAACATTATTTATTTTACCTTTACCATTATAAATAATAATATCAGTATAATAATAATTGATATAAATTTAAAAAAAAAATCAGTATTTAATTTATCAAGTATAAATATTTTTTTCTTTCGTTTTTTATGTATATTAATAAAAATGACTAGTATAAAAGTTAAAAACAATTTTAAAAAGTAACACATGAATCAAACAAAATAATAAATATAGCCCTAATTATATTAAAAATATTAATATAAAGGACATTTAGTAAAAATAATGATAATCTTAATTTAAATTTATCATGGATTTCATCAAAACTAAGGCAGATAAGGTGGTATTTTTTTTAATAATTATGTATCATGTTTGCTTCATTTATATATAGATGAATAATTTATTTTTCATATTATATATAATATATATATATATTAAAAGTAAAACTTTGGTATATTGGCATCCTCATTGTACAAATTTGTTTCTATTGTTAAACAGTTTTCCTTTAAAGCCTTGAGCACCTGAGAACTTAACTTAAATTATTTATTTATTTTTTAAAAAAATGAAATGAATTTCGATGTAATTCTTGTTCCTTCTTCATATTTAGCGCGAATTTGTGGAGAAAAAATAAGCAATTTGCATTCTCCCCCGCAAATTCACGCTAACTGTGTATGAGTAATTAACCCGCATTCATTGTTAGCAAGAATTCGTGGTAAAGTACGCAAAATATGCTGTATTTTTGTAAGCTTCGCCGCCAATTCGTGCTAACTATGAATGCAGGGCTATCCTACCTCATAAATGGACCTCATAAATTTCGGACAATTTTGTCGGCAACTTTTGAACTACTCTAATTTATATTAGGGCTGTGCCGATCAGCAATTTTTTTTTTACCGATTTGATATTTTTCTCATATACATATAAAACCGATCTGATATCGATCATATTAATTATTTAATATTTACCACCGATTTTAAAAGCAAATGTTATAAAAATAAATAAAAAATCTAAATTTCCGTGCAAAAAAAGTAATTGTAAACTATAGGTAAAACAAAAAAAAACACAAATCTCGGACAGAAAAACGCGGACAAAAGTATCTAGGACACCTTTCTTATTTAAAGTATTTTTAAAAAAATCTTAAATTTGAGGAATTTTAGTCTAGGACATATCTGTCGGGGATTTCATTTTTAATTTCACAAAAGTTAATAATCACATTTAAAATTTGGGCAATGTTTATTAGGATTGCTGTGACTAGTCAAACCTTTTTTTTTGTTACAAATAATTGCATATTTAGAGCCATTCTTACTTAATTAAAATTTATTCAATTATTTTTTTATAAAACATTTACAAATAAATTTAATTTTGGGTTTCTTATATTCGTATTATTATAGTAAAGGAAAAATTATGCCAAAATTTTCTTAAAAAAAATGCAAAGCTATATTAGACACAAATCTACCCGGATGTCCAAAATAACCACACATACTACACCTTCTACTCCCGCGCCTTAAGATTAGGAATAGTAAATTAGAAATTAATAGATGCTAGGAAAGTTAACACTTGTATTTAAATTGAGTGTTTTTTAAACAAAATCGCATAAAAATGGAAGAAATATCTTCCATATTCCCATTTTGATTTCAAAATTGGTAATCAAATTGGAAGCAATGATAATATTTCCTCTATTTTCAGCAAACTTTTTAAAAACTCAACTTTAATAATAATTGTTAAGTAGTTGTGATTAGTTTTTTTAATTTATAATTCTCCTTTAAACTACTTGTTTTTGTTTTGGTAATGACATTCAAACCTTTGAACTACACTAATTATAATTGTGAATGACATTATATTGGTCGCAAATTTTATTATTAGAAAGATCGAATTTCATTTTATATTTTCGGTGAAAAATAAATTTTATTCTTTATTAAAATAAATTTGATGTTTATCTTCCTCCGAATATTATGTTCAATCTTCAGAAAACTACAGTTTACTTCTCTAGCATCCATTAATATTAATTTCGAATTTAGTTTAAAAAAAAAATTTTCTAAGAGATATAAGCGAAATTCCAAACCTTATATTACTCAGAATGAATAAATAGCTATATAAAATTTTAGGTATATTCATTCATTCAGTGTATTTTTTTTTAAAAAATGTTTTCAATAATGTATATTGTTTACATTCATAACGTAATCCTCTAAATGTTTTGATTAATATTAATAAAATCCTAACTATTTTTTTTTAAATACATAGGCTAGATCTAATCTTTTTAAATCGGCAAATATTCGTCCCGATCGGTTACAATAGTTAAATATGGGCAGAGCTCTAATTTTTTTAAAACATATATTTGGATATAAATTTATGTAATTCAAGGGGAAAGGAAAAGTGTTTGAAATTCCCAGGGTTATGTTATAAGTTACAACTTCCATCAATGCTGGAATAAAAATTCCGAAAGAAAAAAAATCAGGTCTTTCAAAATAAAAATTAAAAAAGCGCCAGAAAACTTAGTTAAGTTTTATAAAAAAATTTGCTAAAAAAAACTCCAGGGAAATAAAGTATATCCTTTTGTATCTTCTAAATCTTACAACATATAATAATTATTGATAAGTTAAATATAAATTAATTTGTGAAAGATATTGCTCACAAAATTGAGCAGGTTTTTTGTTCTTTAAAAAAAACCGCTGTTGTTTAAATTGATTAGTAAATACTAAACAAAAACGCTAAATTTATTTTCCATTTTTGTTTTTTAACGCAAAGTAAAAGAATTTATCGATATGGACGATAATGGCATTTAAAAATGCTGCATTATTTGAAAAATCCAAGAAAATTAAAATGCCTCAATTTGTAGGAAAAAAATTACACTTGTAAGAAATAATAAAAATTCATGAGTGATACAACGACATATAATAATACCTAGACTTATGATGCATTCATTAAAAGTGTACATCAATGAAAACAGCTGAGGACGCCATTTTGATTACCCCTATCATTATCAAAAATTTTAAACGAGAGGTCAATTTATTTTTATGCCTGACGCAAACTTTATTAAAGAATTTCCTGATCATGGAGATATTAAGGAAAGCAAGCTATCAATTTAATGGTAGTTTTTAACACGAGAATAATTACTATATGGATTACCAAAATGGCGGGTCCAGCTGATTTGCATTCAATGACGCTTTCAAATGTATTATTATGAATGCATCGTAGGTCTATGTATCATTATACGTCATTGGTTTGATATTAAATTTACTCCGATTCAGATTTCTTATGAATAGCGAAAAAAAATAAACTTGTATATTTTTGAATTCAAGCGCTGGCAGTATATCTTGCTCGTATAAGCGCTTGATGAATGGATTTTCGTGTTGACCATCTTGTACCGTCGAGGAGCCGTTAGATTCGGACCCATTACTTTTAGCTACAATATTATAATTTCTATGCCACGTGACAAATTCGTCGAAGTATACCGGATCAACCTTGTTCAAGAAAGATCATATATATAAATATAGTATTTCAAAAGCTGTATCGTCCGTTCGCGAACGATGTTTCTTTTTTTTTACCATACACAACCAAATCCGCCTTACCATCGCCCACATTAAGTTTTTGAGGAAAAAATTCTAAAAAACCTCGAAAATTGGGCAAATCATTAATAGTGACACAAACTGAGCGTTTCAAACGCTGCTTTGCAAAACGCAAATAATGCATTTCAAATGGCCTCGTGCAAATTGGTAAAATTACAGTTTGGCATTAAGAATAGATTGGCTTTTTTTATTAATCTTATTCTTCGGTTTGTAATATTATATAAAAATGTAATATAAATAACTTTACTTATAATCTATAAAGGAATATTTAGAAATTAAAGAAATAAGAAGGCAGACGATAATATAATTTTCAAAGACGATTCATTTTAGAACTTATTTAAAATTTGAACCAACGGATATTAATAAAAATGCAACCTCAATTTAAACAAGGGGCCCGTTAAGTTATTTTTATTAAAAAATTACAGCAAAACGTAAACGCTTAATTTGTGTGTACTATTATATGAAAATGGATGGCAAAATATTTTCCCCACCTCTTGTCCCCCTCCACCCCCCCCCCTTCTTTTTTTTGAAAATGTTTCTCATTTTTTTCAAATTCATATTAATAATTGTGATATTCAAATTATGCACAAAAAAAAGCAAGACTAGAAAAGTAAATATAACATTTTTTCGAGCTACTGGTCAATATTATATAGATGAAGTTAGTGCAGGACCAGCGGGATGGGACAGACGTTCTAATCCTGTGCGCGTATTAGATATAACCATATAAACCAAAAATGATTACTATTTTAAAAAAAACCTCGTAATTCTCCCAGGTAATGGCTCCTATTTCTCTATTATTATAAAAGTCATTTTCTTTGGATGTAAAATCGTGATGGTTCATGGGAGACGAAGCATTTAACATATTTTGATACATATCTAAATTATTTGGTTTGAAAATGTGAAATATAAAATAATCAATTATCTATTTGTCTTTACAAATAAATACTCATGTCACGCGCATTTCAAATTATCACCTACATTATAAAAATGATCTTGAAGTGTGACAAAACTCACTAAAAAAATTATAATTTTATAATAAAATATTGTAATATATATTCTCGTACTTTTGTTAGGTAGACTATTACTCTTACAATCGTGGTGCAGAGTATTACGAGAATTCAAAGATGTCCCATGGTTTAAATGAAAATTTTTCAAATTATTATTCGCCGACGATTTGTTTTTCATCTCGATAACAGATGTAGACCTCTTGTGACCGGGTAAAAAACGGATCCCCCCTATCTTCTTGTCATTAGCAGCTGTACCACATTGACCATCCACATTGGAATTGTCACAATTCGAGGAGTTATTGTTAAATCGATGACAATCACAGTTTTGATTGAGGTATTTGGGGTTATTAGTTTTGTTGTTGTGCAAATGAGCGTAATGCATATTCTTATTCCAGTTTTGGGGGGTAGAATGCAAAACAAGCGCCTTTAAAGCATTAACCTCGGCTTCAAGAATGTCGATCTAACGTTGCGAAATTTTGATTTGTTAGGTTTGGTGATAAAAATAATATATGTTTATTTTATCCCTCACCTTTCCAATCTATTTTTTTTATAATCTTTTAAGCCTAATTTATACTAAACACGTTATCTTTAAGTGCTGCGATATTTAATGCAAAGTCATGACAGCTGATTCAATTTTTTTTAAACTAATTTAATATTTTGCAATTGCATTGATATAATAGCGAATTCAATAAAGAGGTTAATGATTTTTCTTAAATATTATATATATTTTAGCTTTATCTTAAATTATTTTTATAAATGACTATCATAATGCTGTGTTGAATACAACGCATGAAGATAACGCGTTTACTATAAATGAGGTCTCTTTTTTTAATTCAAATGCAAAATAATTTTACTTTATATCGAGCTTCTAGATATTTCTTTTCACTATTGACTCGTCTCGCATTCGCGTCTTGTACCATTTTGTTAGCTTCCTTTTCATAGTAATATTCAAAAAAAATTTTTATAATAAAGTCGAAATATAATTTAAAAAGAGAAGAAAGACAATAAAAATAAAACTACAAAAATAAGCCATAAAATCAAATGCAAATAAATAAGAAAATTAATTTTTGAACACATATGACCAAGAGTACATTCTAAAAAAAGAGATTATAAATATTAAAATAATTAAACATTAAATCTTCCTGGTTTAAAAAATGAAAATTGAAACTCATTTTCATAGCGTTTTTTTCTGAAAATAATGTTGTATTTTTGATAGCCATTACCCGGCACATCATGCACCACCCTAGTTAATAATCCTAAAAATATCAGTGGCAACTTGAATTTAAAAAAATATAAAGAATAAAAAAATAGAGGTAAAGATAAATCTGAATCTTTTGTGTTTCCCATCATCTATTGGATAAAAGGGCATCATTTAATTTCATGAGAAAATCATTCTCATTACCAGGGAAGAGGTTTCAGAATCCATCAACTTATTCCCGATTGAATCAGCTTGAAAGATAGTTTTGAGATCTACTAAATATAAATGTCAGCTCATACCTACTATCACAAGTAATAACAGAACTTAGAAATCTCGAAATTAATGGAGAGTAACACTAACACATATTTAATCCTTCCATGTCTATGGTGAATGACTAATAGCATTTAAAAACCAAATTGGAGTATTAGGCTTATCGCTACAAGTGTATTATTTGAAAGAATCATCTCTAAAATAATTTGCTAATGAATAAAAGATTCCTTATCTATTTTAACAACAAATTTGGATTAGGTATTAAATATGGGTGCACAAGACATGCATCTTGAATCACTCTGGAAAATCTGTCTTCAGATTGTTAATCTATCAAACTTGATATAGTAAATGCTTTCAGCTAATAAAAACGCAACATAATAATCCAGTTTTTCCAAAAATATAGAATTCTTTAATTACATACAATCTAGCTATGGAACACCATCAATATTATGTTACCAAAAATGGAAAACTCTCAGTGTGGAGACTTCCATAAAGTGATCTTCTAGGTCCACCCTTGTTCTGTTTAGCACTAAATAAAATAATTAAGATTAATTGTGATCTTAATCTGAATGTTTGGTAATTAGATGATGCTACAGTCTCAAGCCCTATAAATGAAATAAATAAAATCCTCAAAATTATCCCTATGATTGGGTTAAGTATCAAATATTGTGCTGAAGTTGATCATAGTATAAAGTGCTTATCCTATTCCTAACCTATTTGAGATAACCAAATTTGACAGCTATTCTTGGTGGAATTGCACTCAATGAAAATAATGCCAAAGTTTGGCATTAATGACTCTCATTACCTTAATTTTTGTAACTCTTCTAAATAATAAAAATTTGGAAAATAATTATTTATGATCATGTACATTTTCAAATGACAAGTTATTAACTTGTATAAAATTTTAAGATTTATTTAAGCAAAATTATGGGATGGAAATATGATTATTAAAATTATTTTTATAAGAAATTTTAATAAAGTTCATAATAATCTAAATTTTAAAAAATTTACTAATATAAATGGATAAAATTTTAGTGTAACATTAAATCATTAATGGTATATTAACTCTAAATAATATTTTAAAATTATAGTATCCATTTAAATATATTTAAAAATGAAGTATATAAGCAGCTAGACTAGAACTAATACTTTGTGAGATAAAATGACAAATATAAATAGAATAGGTAATAAATTGCTAATTAACATTTATATTATAGAGTATTTACTAGTGAATTTTATTTTAACAATTTAGAAAAAGAATGATATTAAGCTTATAAAATGAGATAATTTAATTTAAAAATATCTATAATTGAGTGGAAATTAATATATTTAATGGCTAATTAATTTTATAAACTTCAAAGAGTGAGGCAGTCAAATCCTGTAACTCTTTTTGAGTCTGCTCTTGAGTATGGATCAATATTTCACACTTTTCATTTTTTGATTTCAATTCCTAAAATAATTATAATATAAAAATACATAATTCAATATTTGTTAATTATGAAAATATTTTATAATTGAATTTATTATAAAAAATAATTCTTTAATTTTAGTATACTGATTGTGTCTCCTTTAATTTTTGCTTTAAATTTTGGTATACATGTACATCATTAAGTTTTTCAGTCAAATTCGTTAAAACATCACCTTTCTCAATTGTAAGTATGGGCTTTCCGATGCTATTTTTTAGGTATTCAACATTTAAATTCAAATATGATCTTAAATTTGGAATGCTTAAAAAAATTAGAATAATAATTGCATTTAAAATTAAATTACTTTTCACATATATCTAGCGTATTAGATCTAGACCTTTTCATATCATAAACCCCAAATTTCAAGTTGTCATTAAATGAATGAATGGACAATATATTAAAATTTTTGGTTTATGTTAGATACTTTTCCTTTATTCCATATACACTTCTTCCTCATCAGTCATAATCCTAAATTTCAGATATTAAAACACAAAATTTATGATCCCAATATTCACAAGAGACCTTTTATTATACGATGGACTACCCCCCTTTCCTTGGGTCTAATATAGTATCAAATGGCAAATTCAATTAATTTATATAACCTTCAAAAATTTTAAAAATAAAGAATATTCTAATCTAATAGCTCTTTCCATTATTATCCCTTTATATATATAAATCCATATTTACACATATTAAATTAAAATATTTTTGTCAATTTACTTTGCCTATTTACAATATTAACAAGTATATATATATAAAAACTTTATAATTATTCATCTTATTATACTTAATCTATTTATGAACCATTCTTGACTATCCATCATTACCACATGCTCAGTATCTAACTAGTTATTTTAAATACTAACTATATATAGGCGTAGCCAGGGGCGGACTGGCGACGTTACGGCCTCGTGGGCATTTTTTTATAGCGACCACATTTTTATGGGGGCTTCGTCGACCGGGTTTTCTTAAATGGCTTCTTTAAATTATATATTTTTATTACTTGTTATTTTTTATAGGTTCAAACAATTTACATTTTAAAAAAAGAAAAGAATAATGATACGATAATCATATATTTTATTTTAAAAAATTGCACATCCAAAATCATATTCATTGAACACATAAAAAAATATTCATTGCACATATAAAAAAATATTTATTGCACATATTAAAAAATATTCATTGCACATATTAAAAAATATTCATTGCAAAAAAAAATATTCATTGCACATATATATTTTATATTAGATTTACAAGGATATTGCACTATAAAATCAAATCATACATCACATGTTAGATATAATATAATACATACTCAATATATAAAATCAATTAGTTACACATATAAAATTATAACGATTATACAATATTGCACAAAGAATAAAATTGTTGCACTTATAAAATTAGAGATTATATTGTAAAAGATATAAATAATATTTAAATAAATGAATTAATAATATATAATTTTTATGTTAATAAATCTCTCATTAACTTTGAACCTTTGCGTAATAAACAAGAATATCTTCTATTTCAATCTGCGATAATAGTTCTCGTTCAACTGACATCATTAAAAACGTTTCTAATTTTTCTTGGCCTATATTAGCTCTCAGCCTATTTTTATAATTTTCAATTTGCTAAATGTTCTCTCGTAATGAACCTGCGTAAATGATAAAGTTAAAATGTATTCATACGCCAAAAATAAATTAGTGTATGCACTTGTATGCATATTGTACCTCTTAAGAATTTCATACACGTATATTAAACGATTGTTACATTTATCACACTTCGAGTTATTATCATATTGTAGTGTGCCATCTTCTTCATTCGACTCCTCACTTGTACATAAGATATCATCGTCCGTTTCATTTAATTCTGCTATTAAATCTTTGAATACACTAGAAAATGAACACAATTCGTTATGTAATTTATCACTCGATATATTTGCCAATTGCGCCAGTTTTATAAAGGCCATTTCAGAAACTATTTATGTCATCAAAATGCCTTGGATGCAAATATCGCACATTCAAAATAAGCTCTCTATTCGTAGAAAAGCGTTCCGACAAACTGTTTATAATTTAATCAATTATAGGACGAAATACTTCAACCCTATAAAGGTCAATCGATTCTTGAGGACGTTCATCCTGGCCTTCATCACTATATATACTCTTTGCTCGTCCTATTCGAATTTTTGGCAGAGCAGTCTGTACACAGATACTCTCCGGAAGCTTTAAATATGAAAGTGTTTCATTTAAATCAGAAACCATTTTTATTGCTTTATTTTGAATGGATGTAATAGTTATCGATGACAGAAGACTTAGCATCTTCTATCATCTTCCATGCCGACAAAATATCCAAATTTTTGGTTTGAAGATACAATGACAACAATGGCCCAATTATTTCAAAAATTTCTAAATATATTACAGCTGTACTAAAAGTCTTAAATTTACATAAATTATCTATCAACGACTGCGCTTCTGATGAGGTTTTTGCCTCAAATGATTTATTATCTATTATAAATCGAAGTGCACTTATCGTTATTGGAAGTAAGCTCTCTTTGCCATATATCCATTTAAGGGCTTTTCACGTGCCCACCACCTTGTCTCACCTATTTTTTGCAGCCATCTCAGTTTATTTTGGCCAGTTGAGTTATTCTGTTTCACCCAAGCGTCCATCCTTTTATATGATTCACCAAAGAAAGTTGCTAGTCTGTTCAATAATCCAAATAAAATTTTGCCTTCAATATTATCGCATGAATCACATATACAGAGATTTAAATGTGACTATAACACCAAATATACAAGCTACCTGGAGCCTCTTGTCTAATAAGAGCTTGCAACCCAAAAAATTCCCCCCACATATTTGCAGCACCATAAAATGATTCTCCAATTATATTACTCATTTGAATTCCATGTTTTAAAAAGCATTCACTAAAGATATCAAAAAATTCTTTTCCAGAAGAGTTCGTAACTTTTGTATTGCAAAAAGCCTTTCTGTTATTTTACCATTATATATGTATCGTAGGCAAATGGTTGCTTTATTATAAAAGCAAATGTCTTGAGTACTATCCATTTGCAAACTAAACCGTTTGTTACCAATCTCCTTTTTTATTAAATTCCTGATTTGATCAAGAACAGCATCATTAACTTTGTTGACAGTTGTTTTTGACAACAAGGTTATGAGAGAACCTCTTCCCTTCGATTTTGATTTGTTAGACAGTTTTAGCGTATCTTTTCTAAGTTTGCTTTTTAAAATAGCCTTCTCTAAATGATCTCTAAGTATTTGATCATTCTTTGATATAATACGGATCATTTCCAGGAAATTGCCATGATTTAAATTTTCATTATCAAAGAGGCTAAGTGTTTCGGTACCATTTGATCCTCTGTTAAGTTTTGTTTACCTAAAAACTTTATTATCTCATATATTTGTTTTATTATGTGGATATTGTTATGAATTTGTTGATTTTTTTCATTTAAGATTTTAACGCTAATTGAATTATTAAATGACTGGTTTTTTGAAGTTCTGAGGTAGGCCTCGACAGCACTAATATGCACATTTGAATTTTCATTTATTTTAATAAATGAGTGCATGTGACGAAAATTTGTAGAGCCTGTTGTGAAAGTGTTTTCACATACTGCAAATGCCAGGCAGATTGAGCAGTACACAGCTTGGGCTTTATTGCTTATAATTTTTATGGTAATCCATTTTCTAGGTATTTTTTCACACATTACCATTCGATAATATAATTTATCATATTTAATGTTTATTGGTTGTATAGGATGTTGCATTAAAAATCTAAGTTTTTAAGGTATAGTGGCTGTTAATTGCAACTTAAAATTTTCATGTGTATGCATAGCATATTCAATTCTGATAATCCACTTTGAGAAATATCTGAAGGCATTATTGATGTAGTTGCTTCTGACAAGTGTGAGGATAGTGGCAATGATGGAACTGATGCCATAATACATGAAGATGTTGCAGATAAGGTAGTTGTTTCAGGTAGTGGTGAATGGGAGGCAGTTGTTGATATCTCTAAAAAAATAGTTTATTTACACGAAGTAATAGTATTTGAAATACTTGGTATTGATTTATCAAAAAAATATAATTTAAGTTGTTTTGGATCAGCACCAGCTGTTTTGTGACCAGCAGAAATTTTTTTCTTAATTTTTCAGCTTCACCTTTAAATTTCCTTTTGGCATTTCTATGCATATATGAAAATATATTAATTTAACTAAAATAAAATTCATTATAATTTTTTTTAAAGAATTGTATTTTAATATAAAGCATAAAGTAATCTGTTATGTTACTGGCCAGTAATAATAAAAAAAAACATTACTATCTTTGGGTTATGAAATATAAATAAGTTTTTTAAAAATATATCAATTCAACTAAAATAAAATTTATTATAATTTTTTTTAAAGAATTGTATTTTAATATAAAGCATAAAGTAAACTGTTATGTTACCAGCCAGTAATAATAATAAAAAAACATTACTATCTTTGGGTTATGAAATATAAATAAGTTTTTTACTTTTGACTATTTACATACATCTCAATTTACGTGTAAAAATAGTATATAAAGTTGATTCTTTTCTTATATTATGTTTGTTTGCTAATGATCAGTAAATTGTTGTAATACAAATATTAGGCGCAAAAAAGTTTCCTCTACAATAAATTAATGTATAAAAATATAATATAATAAATTAATAAAAACTTAGCTTTCACTCTACTCAAGCCCAAGCTCAAAAGGATCAATGAATTAAGAACAAGAAATACAATCAATCACAATAGTTTCCTATATACAATAAATTAATGTATAAAAATTAATATAATAAATTAATGAAAACTTAGCTTTCACTCTACTCAATCCCAAAAAGATCAATGAATTAAGAACAAGAAATATAATCAATCACAATACTTTCCTATATACAATAAATTAATGTATAAAAATATAATATAAATTAATGAAAACCTAGCTTTTACTCTACTCAAGCCCAAGCTCAAATCTATGAATTAAGAAGAAGAAATACAATCAATCACTATAGTTTCCTATATACAATAAATTAATGTATAAAAATAAATATAATAAATTAATCAAAACTTAGCTTTCACTCAACTCAAACTCAAACATAAGCGTTTTCACTTCCTTTGAAAAAAAAAACGAAAAGCACGTGGTAAATGATATATAGCGTCAAGCGATGTAATTGATATTTAATGCATTCAAATATAGTAAACGACATGATAATTCTTCTCAGGGAATATTCAAATAATAGATATCATCAAAAATAAATAAATGATGAGAAAATAATGTGAACAAAATAATATATTTTTTCCTACCGGCCTCTTTTTTGAAATTTCCTATCATCGGCCTCAAAATCGACATTTTCTCGCTGC